AACGTACATAATCCTGTACAGTTCTGTCCCTTTGGTTTCACATCAGCGAGTGTGTATAGTTTGACACTGTTGTATTTGAGTTTATTTTACTTTTGTTTATTCAAATTGAATCATTGATGTAATTGCACTGCTGATCTGACCTGGTCTTTCTCCTCCAACATGTTTTATTGTACGGTCGACCTTGTGTTAACGTACAGATGACAAATACAACTTTCTGTCAGTTTGGTGTTGTTATCCAACAAAGTTGTTTATTGTCATGTATACAGTCCTGTACAATGAAGTTATTTCTTTGCCTTCCACTATGAATACCATGTTTTTTAGAATTGGAAGGCAAAGAAAGAAGAAGGCAGGTACTCATATTTACTGATTAATCATATTGAGCATGGTACTGCTGTTTCCTTCTTATTTAATTCATCTTCCCATCATCATTCAAATATATTTTGACATTATCTTGGATATAGATCAGATAAAAACACATAACAGACAGACACCCGGATGCCTATATACAATACAATGCAGCCATTTAATAAAACCACATGAGATATTTGTGTCTTATAGTACTTTGTGGGTTAGAATGGTTGGTATCTCTTATATCACATTTGGAGTTGCAGGGAAAATGTCACAAACACCAGTGCTTGTGTGCAATTGTGTGTTGGACTTGCTAAGCTTGAGTTGTGTGTGAATGAGACTTTTAATAAGTTTTAATAGCTGCAAATGTGAATGGTCCACATTTCTTGAAATTGTATGTCTGAACAATCACAGCTTTTTAATGTTTCATGGGTTGGTTATAAGTAGTTGGTGTGTGTGTGATGGGCACTGTTTGTCACATCATTGACATATAACTTCTGGCAAATGATGAGAAATTGAAAGCAGTTATTGATTACAGTATATTGCATTACCTTTTCTACTAAATACCTCTTTACATATTCAATCCAGCTACAGACAAATTATATTTTTAAATGTTAAACACTTGAAGAAAGACAAATCAGATATTGTAGAGGATTTTTTTACTGTGGTAAGCAGTAGAAAAAAAAGTGGCACATACCATGTGAGTGTGAGGATCGGAAGTTGTATTTCAGTCATTCCACTTAAAAATAAAGAAAATAAGAAAAATGTATGCAGCAAATTATTCTAATTCTTAGATGCTTAGATAGGAAGTTATTATTCAGGTAAGATGGAAGAGAGGAACCATGAAAAGTAAGGGATCAATCAACAGAGGAGAGGGTGGAATAAATAAAAATTAACAACAAAAAGAGATGAGAAAAAAGAAGTTGGCGGAGGAGTGGGAATTAGAGAAATTAAAGGGCATAGTAGAGCAAGAGAGCAAAGGAGGTGACCAGAGAAGAAGGAGACGGAAGACGGGAGTGGAAGAAGAAAGATAAATGAGAGGGAATAGCTAAGAAAAGAGTTACTGTGATTCATGTCAGTGGAGCTGCTCTGCATCATCCCGTATTCAGCTGCTCATGATCTACCACTGCCTTAGACAAGTGTGTGTTTGTGAGTGTGTGTCAACACTGTATATTGTATCTGCTCTCTGAGGAAACGGTGCCAAGGTTTGGATAAGGCTACAGATAAAGACAGGGGAGATGAGGTCGTAAGTCTCACACACACACACACACATACACACAAAAAACACACACACACACACACACACACAAAAAACACACACACACACACACACACACAAAAAACACACACAGACCACCACATGCAGTTCGACCTTGACTTCTGCTGCTCCCCTCCACCTCTCATGAACATGTTGTGCATTATTCTCCCTCTCCTCCTGCTGCTGAAAACCGATGCTTATCTACTTTACAGCAGATAACGGAGAGCATGAGAGAGGGAGAGGGAGAGAAAACAAAGAGATATCAAATGTGAGAGGGAGAAATAAGAGGGGTTACAGCCAGAGAGCAAGAGAGGAGGAGGAATAGAAGAATGGAACCTAGAGGGGTCTGAATAATAGATAATATACCCAAATAATAAATAGAGAGATGAGCAAAGCCGATGTGCTGCTGAGTGTGTCCTACAGTTGATAATTTGGTAAAGGAAGAGCACAGCAGCACTGCTTTTGAACTTCACATCTATTTTTCTGCACCAATAAAAATATGCCCAAAGCAGTGACCATTAAAAGTGTTAAATACCAACAGCCAGCATCCTGTGCCTGGCTCGATTCAAAATCCTGTTTAGTTATTGTTTGACGGTCGATTAGATTTAAAGCGGCACTTTTAAAAACTACTTGAAATGAAATTGTGCTACAGAAAACTATTGTGT